ATTCGAACCTGCGACTTCTCGCTGACAAGGCGAGCGTCATAACCACTAGACCACGAAGGCTTCATGGTTGAACAGGTCCAAATACCCGTCGGGAACATTGTATTACACAATGCTATGCCTCAAGAGGGCGTTCGGCCAGATAAATCTGGAAATACAGCTAGAAATAATGTCGTATATTATATATGATATTGAAGGAAGTTGGCCATTAACACTGTTGAATAAATATAATATAGCTCTCAACGAATGTAGTCCTGTAAATAAATGAATAAAGAAATTGTTGAATAAAATGCCTCTGGCGGGACTCCAACCTGCGACCCCTTACTGTCAAGGCGAGTCATAACCATTAGACGACGGAGGCTTTTTGGTTGAACAGATTCAAATACTACCAGATACACTCCCTTAAACAATAGGGACAGCTAGAAACAAATAGTAGCATATAATATAAATCAAGATAGCCGTTAACACTGTTAAATTATATATAAATCATCAAAGAAAAGTAAATACAGAGTTCAAATAAAGGACATAATAATAAATCGTGCAGCATAGCTCTAAACGAATGTAGTCGTGTAAATTTATTCATTATTTACAGGACTACTATCTCTTTTAAGAAATGTTTTGATATAGAAATTATAAAATATCACCATCACTACGCCCTCTCTCTTACAAATCCTGGGAACACTAACAAATATTTACCTCAAGTTAATTTCCTGACACAACATATGGCCTTGAAAAATGACCATTTTCTTTCAAACTGCCATCAAATTTTCCCTGTGTTACATTATTATCATTATACGTATGGACGAAACGTGGTGATAGATTTATTTTATCATATACATTGTCCTCTAAATACTTGGGTCTCTTTGATATCATTCCTTGCTGGTACATTAAATTAAGCTGTCTTCCACTATGCCCTACGTAGCAACAGCAGATCAGAGATATAAGCAGGAAAACAACACCAAGACTACCAACAATAATACTCCATATTACTAGCTGACACGTTTCTCCTATGTAACCTTCAGTACACCTATAATAAAATTATACAATAAAATGTTATCATCATAGGCTATACAAAACGAAATGGTACACACATATTTTATTATTATAAATTATTAAATATAAATATGTGATAATGAAAATGAAAATAATAAGCTGCCCTATTTGTAAACTTAATGGCAAAAATGTAGTGGGACATTATCTACTGTTGATTTTTTGTTTTTATAAATTATGCTATCATATGTACACAATTCATTAGTGATGCTGATTGCTTTTGTGGCTGATTATCTATACCTGTGAAATGCTGTATTGAAACGCATAAGACATTGCAGAAAAACTTATTTTACACACGTATTAGTTACATATTAGAGGTTAGGTGGAGAAAGTACCTACTAATTTTTTGGCATGAGGTTTTTACTGGACTTTAATAATAATTCCACATAGGCCTCAGATATTTTTTTTAGTTTTCTTTTGTTAGTAAATATTTATTCGCGCATAAGCCCCTATCCATTTTGTTACGATATTTTTCATTAAAAAAAATATAATACTGTGTAATGGTAGGGAAGACTGGGGTCAGTTGTTCCAGGGGTATATTGTTACAGTGCTCTTTTCCTTGAATAGGAGGAACAGGGAAACACAATCGGTGTCATATTAAAGTATACTGTAATATCCATCACCGCCGGTCTTAGCCTGGTGATCCGACGAGTGACAGGAAATGCAAGTAAAATGTTTGTTTTTTTACTTCAAAATTTAAGATCATTTCAGTGAACTGACAACATAAATTCCCCAATCGCAAAAGCAGTGCTCGCTGCTTGTGGAAAGCTACGGCGTATAGTAATAAGTAGGGTAGGCAAAAATCTCCTGGTAGTCGCTCGAGAGTGTGTAGTCGACAGTGAAAATTAATGGACTATTAGTATTGCAATTATAATATTCCTATGCCTCGACACTGTTTAGGTACAGAATGGTTTTTGAAAGTATAAAAAGCAGCGTTGAATCTGGTCGGTTATTTGCGTAATGTAAAGTATAACATACCTACCTACTTACTAACTGACCCTGAAGGATGTAAACAATATGTATTGTTTTAAATCAGGGAGGTATAAAAGTTCAATTGATAGTTGATTTCTCGCAAACATATTATTTCATTCTTTTAATATGAATAAAAGTATTTAATAATAGGAATAGATTTATATAGCAAGGAGATATAGGCTATTATAAACATTAATTTTACCCAATCTGACGATATTATATACACATAATGATGTAAGGGGCCTACTGTTTATTAAAGGTTGCCTACCCAATTAAAAAAAATTTAATAGCATATTTAAAACGATCAAAATCAGATGGTAAAAAAAGCTTTCACTGATTTACAGATGGTTCTACTAAAAAAGTCCTTAAATGTTACCAGCCAATGAATCATGCAAATACACTAACAGAATCAGTACTATGGTACTACAAGACATACCATATCTAAGATACTATACTGTAGGCTTCCTAAAGTAGCCAGATTCAAAATTATTGTACTTTTTTTTATACTTCGAAAGACCATGCTGTGTCTAGTCATACATAGGGATATTATTACAAATATTCCAATTAATGTTCACACTGTCTTGACTACCAAGGCCTTTTTGGTCAACTCCACAACGTACATCCATGCATAAGCGGGACAGGGGTAATTTGTTACAGTTGATTAACTGATTAATGATATATGATATATGACAGTTGCAATTGCTTCGTTTTATAACCAATATACTGTTGTTGCATTAGAAAAGAAATGGTGTGTTAGTCTCATTCAATTACATAATTAAGAAAAAAAATGTACATTTTGTAACAACTGACCCTGGTCTCCTGTAATGAAGACGGTTTGCACTACAAAACAATATCCGCATAGTTAAAAAGACAGATAAGAAGAACGGTGTTGTAAAAGCTTAAAAAATAAAAAAAAAACCTAGTATTGGTTGGGAATTGTTACTAAACCTCGGCGGAGGTAGGCTACCGTTTTGGACGGGAAAATAATGGAAGGCCAGCCCATCTTCGTGAAGATGCTTTTATATCCTGATAAGCTGGAAGTCATGAAAAGCAGACGCAAGAATTAAGAGAGTTTGACAAATGTTTAAATATTAACTGGCAGTAAATGAAAAATGTTCGAGAGAGGTGAAGTCACTCTATGATAAATGTACAGTGTTGAGATATGTTGCGGGAAAATAAAAAAATCGAACAGGGTAATGTGTCTTATTAGTCAGTTGCAATCAATTTTCCTATTCTTCATTGACTGATTATACAAGAACTAAAAAAATATAATGTATATGAATATAATAGCATGACACAATATTGGGATATTTCTTTCCACTTTACAGTACTTTTAACTAAATCGTAAACTAAATGAATATACATATGTTGTATGAGTCGCGGTAAACGATCTGTAGAATGGTAATAAGTTACATGAACGTTAAGGCAAAATGTCAGTGTATGATTAGTGTACTGAAGTGAAGTGCAAAAGTATGCAAATATGTTATCAAAAGGCTTAGTAAAGAGGTATCTAGCCAAGAGTTGAACATAGAATATTTAAAAGGAAAATGTGGACTGAAGAGTGTCGTCTAAAGGACATATCATACAAGGCACATTTTAAGACAAAAGTAGAAAACTTGTAAGTAATTCTATGTGAGCATCACAGTAATTTTGAAATCAAGAAATAAAGTAAAGAATTGACGATGGTCGGAGGATGTAGAGCCAAGTAGCATATATTTAGACTTACCGTATGTACTGCCAAATATATTATTAAAAACATACTGCACACTGAGGGAAAAAGCCCTAGTAGTTCGACAGACTTGGTAGGCGAATTTTACTTTAGCGTTCTCCGCAATATCTGCGTACAAATTACGTAATAACGCAGTAGAGCGCCCTCTTGCAAAAATTAAAACTTTTTAACTTTTGATTGCTTTGACCTTGGCGTACATACACCACATGAAGCGTCATCTACAATTAAGGAACAATAACGTACTTGGTAACAAACTTTGGTGTAACACGAACCCCTTATCTCAGATCTATGGCAACAACTATGACGCCCTCTCCCCAAAATGATTACTTTCTGCTGCCAAATCGATACTTCTATTTGTTACGCATAAATCGCGTAGAACGCTATCTTGTGCTTATAAGATCTTTGCTTATAAAGCAATTATTTTTGAAATTTGAATATGAATTTGACTGAAGAGCTAACATTTGTTTAGATTTTTCAGCATTTGTTGTGTTTTTGATGAGAAAACCCGATATATGTATATGTAATAAGTTGCCATTTTGCAGTTCCTTGTAATAATGCAGTCACTGTGATTTAGCTATTAAAACAATTTTACATATTAGTAGCCTTATATTTCACTTACTTCCGACTGATTTTCAGCGAGATCCTACCAGGCCTGTGATCCAGCTAGCCTTACAAAGTGTACAGTGGAGGGTGTCTATTCAGATCTTGGATTGTTTTATAAGCATGCACAGACTAATTGCTATATGGATGCGTTAAGAATACTGAAGGACTCTAAAGATAATTTCATAATGGGATTTATAGCCGGATGAAGTAGCTGATCTAGTTGCATTCAATGGTTAGTTAGAGCCAGATAAATATGGATGCTGGCCTCCCGCTGGGTTACTTTCTGCATTACCAAGTGGCTCAACCACTGGATTAAAGAAGTTGACTGTAGTCTAATTATTTCCTTATCTAGGAATAATTTAGCATTCATATAGAAAATTTTAGCAAGATGATGTGGATGAACCATAGTCCTATGTGAAACCGATTAAAGTGGCTACCAGATTGAATCAATAAACAAAAGCCTCCATAGTCTACTTGGTGCTAAAGGTCCCAGGTTTGATTCCCGGCTGATATTCTTGTTTCATTCTCAAAAATTACAATTGTGTGTGAGGTATTTTTGAAATGAATAAAATTTTTTCATCTTACGTGCAAGAGCTTTTAAAATTATTCATATCCATAGAACACGTTCCTCCATTATTACAGTAATCTTCTGGACAAATTTCTGTCAATAAAATCAACATAGAATTGTGTTAACAGACTAATGAGCTTTGGGCACGATGTGACCTGAATAAGTAATAATTTTAGTGATATATATTTATAATATATTAAATTATTCAACCCTGTATAAAATTTATGTCTCATAATATTATTACCATAAAACTTTTGGATACTTTCTGGATTAAGATCAAGCATCGAACCATTTAACTTTCCTTCACTGTTGACATTCTGAACAAACAATAAGTCCAAATCTGATGCTGCAGCACCAGTTGATTTTAATTCAACGTAATAATCCACAATAATACTTCCTGGATCCAAATTTAGAATTTGAATGTCAACAAATCCAGGTGCAGATCCAAAAATAGCTGTCAGCTGAAAAAAAAATATATAAGCGCAAATTAAATATATCTTAAATAGAAGTATTTATAGGAGTAAACAAATGCAATGACATTTCATGGTAAATTGGCGAATTAAAGTGTATAAAAAAGGCATGAATAAAGATGAAGAAAGAAATAATGCTAGGTGAAGCATTAATTTTTAAGAAATTTAAACATACTGGAAAAGTAATGCATGAATAAGGATAACCAAATGAAACAGAATGACAGAGTTAAATGTAGGGCCTACATGTTGTATTGTCTATTAAGGGAGGGCTGCTCACCAGTGGCGGTGCCAGTGGGGGGACAGGGGGCGAAAGTCCTATATATATATATATATATATATATATAAATACATACATATATATATAAATTTATATACTTTTTAAGTTTATCTCTTTAATACTCTTGGACAGATGCATTCAACATTACTTGCAAAATATATTCTCAACATACTCTATAGGCCTATTGGATTTTAATATTTTTATTTTAAGGAATAAATTGTTGATTATGAAATATACAGATAATATGTACCGGTATATGCAAATTTTGTAAAACAATAACAATGTTTAAGCTATACAATTAAGTGTGGTGCTTCATCTAACACTTCTTTGACAAACATCACAACTGCCACAGATTCTTCAAATGTTAAACCTGCCCTAATGATAACGGTGTGAACACTACTTTTAAATAACGATAAATAAAAGATGGAAATTATTTTTGCAATAATTATTACCGCTTGGAGTATCATCAAAGCTAGCTCCTGATATGCATTTGATGTAGGGTCGTCATAATCCTCTGTGAAAGTAGCTATATCAGGACCAATTTCAACAATTGTAAATCTGCCAGTGATTTGTTTAACAGCTGAAACAGTTAAAACAACATTAAACTTAAAAAAAAAAAAATCATGACATGCATTTTTACTACTGTTTTAACTTCTTAACATACTAATCCAGTTTCAGTTTTAGTTAATTTTCCACACTTAAAAAATATACTTCTTCTTCTTCCTTTAAAACAGGTTCAAGGAACATTTATTAATCACATAGGCCTCTGGCCCAAATAATATACAAAATATGATATTAACAAAATTAGAGTGCATCTAAATATTCTTTTTTGCATTTAAATGAGTAAAATAAGCATTTTGATAACTTTGAAATGAGATCAACATTTTTTAGTAGACATTAGAAATTTGAATTCAGACGGAGTGTCTGTGTAACAGGTAAATAGAAATTTCGTTCTATCTGAATAAAAAGGGCAAATTAAGGTAAAATGATATTCATCTTAGACTTTTTGTAACGAATATAATTTACATAATCTTTTATTTCTATTAACATTATACCATCTTCCTCTTTCTAATTCTAATATCCCCAATATTAATTTCGTAAGTATTTGTTTATGTCTGTGATTGTCTACATTTTTTAGATAATCCTCTGCTCTGAATTCATGTTTAATTTGTGAAAACAATTTTAATTTAGAATGTTGACTAATTTCTTCATAAAACCTTTGATTGTCAATGTCTGTTAACCTTTGTTTTAGATTAAATACAAAATCATTGAAATCGTTGACTTTTTGTTTGTGCCAAATATCTCCAAAACCAATGGAACATAATAGATTTTTAACATCTAAGGCCCAACAAGGCTCATTTCTTTGTGTTTTTCTGTATTGAATGTCATAGCATAGACTTGCCACAAGTCTCTTATTTTTTATTATTTTTCTCATTCTGGACAGCGCCACCAACGAGAAAGTTAATTTAGAGATAGGCGGAATAAGCGACTTGTAAAACACTGAATGCAGGCACCAGGATGCCAAAAGAATGACGTAATCTTATATTCCGTATTTGGATAAATGGGTGAACCGAAATAACCAATTTCAACCAATCAAATGTTCATATTTTTGGAGCCACGAAACTGAGTCACTCGCGTCGACTAGTTAGGCATGACTAAATTTAAATAGTCCTCCCTAATAAAACGGGCCTAGAATATTTAGAATAGACCCTAGTAAGACTAATTTTGGCAATGGCAAAAACAATTAAGCTTAGACTAGATGGCATACCATACAAATACAACAAACTTTCCAGGAGGATGGATCAGGCCTCGTCTGGAGTCAGGAGTAGGCCTAGCCTAGACTAGTAGAGGCTTGGCGTATTTTTAAGTTCTTACTTACAGAGGCCTACCTTTTTAACAATATTCTACCTAAAGGCCTAAATCTGTGTAGCAGCTAGCGGTGAGCAAGGTTCCTATAGCCTACAGTTATCAGTCCATGTCGTTCTCAGCAGGCCAGAACTATCCTAACTGTTTTAATTCAAGTATAGGTAGCCAAAAGGGAGCTGGTTCTTGTTCTAGTCGAGACATCCGCATCTTCAATTTTGAAAGTTTACCAAGATTGATTAATATGCATGAAGTTAGCCAGTCACGTGATTTACAAAATCAGTCATGTATACGATATCCCACATCAAATTTGATGTGGGAAATCGTACGCATGAATCGTTTGCCAAGGCCCTAATTCGAAAAAAAAAAAGAAATCGAGTATGGGACGCCAATTAAATTAGGTATGGCGCGCACTAAGTGCAATAAAGAGTGAGTAACCTAAAATTAGGGCCTGGAACCCAGGCTAGTCATAGCATTGCCTAATAAATTTTTCACTGTCCATATAAATCAGTCTTAACCAATACCTAATAACGTTAACAGAACATGCAACATGTATGGGGTATCTCCCGCATTCTCCTCTAACACCAATATTGGGTGCTGAGTTGCCAACTTCTAATATGTATTTACAGAATTTCATTTGTATCTTATTAATAGATGAAATATCATCCAAACCCCACATTTCACTGCCATAGAGTAAAATCGGTAATATTTAAACATCAAAAATTTGATTCCATAAGTTAATCGGTAGATGACCAAAACGTCCCTGAATTACCCCCTTCAAAGCACATAAGGCTTTATTAGCTTGTAGGTAATTATTTTCTTTGGCTTTATTCCATTTACCATTTGAATTTAAAGTAACTCCTAAATACTTATATGATTTTGAAATTTTGATTGTAGTCCCATTGTAATTCCATTTTTCATATTTCTTAAGTTTATTCCCTTTTTTAAAAACAACAATGT